AAAAAAAAAAAAAAAAAAAAATCCCAACATCCCCCCCCCCTCCTCCTTCCCCCCCTCACCCCCCCAACCCAACCCAACCCAACCCCACCCCGGCGCTTTGGGAAGTGTTTGGGGAGTCAGTTATATAAGCGGCCAGATGTTGGGCGAGGAGGAGCGCCAGGACGGCAGCGGGGCTGCCAGCTCCCAGCGATGCTCAGCTGGGTCGGTGGGGGGGGGAGGAGGGGGGGGGGGGATGAAGGGGGGGAGGGAGTGGGGGGCTGTGATTTGTTACCTGCAGGGATGAGCCTCATGGTGAGCGCCGTCCCAGAGAGCCGAGCGCAGACGGGCAGCGTGTGCGGGTTTTCAGAAATTCATGTTCATACTGGGGGACTTCTCTGGGTTTATATACCGGTCCTGCAGTGAGCTTGTGTTGTAAGAAAGGGGAGGAAGGGGGGGGGCGAGTGGGGAGGGGGGGGGAGAGAGGGAGAAACACTATCATTACTTCTATTGAAGCTGTAAATCAGGAAGTAAAGGGCTTGGAAATCATGAATGATTCTTAGAAATAAACTTCTGATAAAGTTGATGTCACCAGGATCTCGGGGTTTTCTTTTTAGTGTATTTCTTTTTTTTTCACTCGTGTGGCTGTGCGGGGGGGTGGGGGGGCTATGGGGTTTGGGGGGGGGGGTGGGGGGTGGCACCACGCGTGGGACACACGGGGGCACGGCCGTGCTCGCCCCGACGCGGTGCTGCCGTGACTCACAGCTCCGGCAGCACTTTCACCCCCCCAGCCCCCCCCCCCTCCCCAGACGGTGTTTCCCCGTGAGGCAGCCAGGGGAAATTAAAACAGAAAGAAATTGTAAAGGCATTTTATATACATTTATATATCTTTCTTCTCCCTCCCCATCATTTTTTCACCGGAGGGAGGTGGGCAGGGGACCCCTGGATGTGGCTGTGTCAGGGGGTGGTTGTGCCCCCCAGCATCCCTGCCGCACTCTTTTGGGGGAGCAGCCACCAGCACAGCAGCTCATCTGTGCTCCTGTGCCACTCATGTCTGTGTCCCATCCCTGCCCCTGTGCCACAGATCTGAATGCCACCCGTGTCCATGTGTCATATGTCCAAGTGCCACCCGTGTTGGTGTGACACCAGCAGGGACACCCCATCCCCATCCCTCTCCCCTCTCTGGGCTGGCAGCAGGTTGAAGGCACTTCCATTTCTCTCCCTCTCTGCTCTGTGTATTGTTCTTCCTGAAACATTTGATCAGGTTTAGTGAGTCTGTGCCCTGCTTGCATCCCACCAGGGGACATTTGATGGACGGTGACGCCAAGAGGGGGGACGTGGGGACAGTGCAGTTGAGTGGGACACTCTGCAGTGCCACCTATTGCGTCTGTCTGTCCCCTAGCTGAGCTGCCCCCAGGGTGCTGCTGTGTGTGGTGACACCTGGCACTGCCGTGGGGGGGGCTGCTGTCACTGCCATTGGTGACACAGTTTCCCCAGGGGTAAAGTGGGGAATGGGGACAAGCGCCACACTGGTGGAATCCCAATTGAACCCAGTTTGGGGTCACTTGGAGAGGACGGAGATGCCGATGGGATGGGGATAACGGGAGCTGTGCGGGGAGGGAGCCTCATGTGCACAACCTCACGTATAAATTCATACCTCATTATCGGGGTCACTTAATTACCTGGGAAACGGTTGTTTCTCCATCACCAGCTCAGGGGCAGCCCGGGGGTGGGGGTGTCGCAAGCCCCACTGCGGCCACTTCCTGCCAATTCCCCGCGTTTCTCTGCAGGATGCGGCACTGGAGCTGATTCACCTGCAGCCAGGTCCAGCCCCGCTGCCTGCGAGCCCCCACAGCCCCCGCTCCTGAATCAGCCCTGTGTTCCACGGCCAAAAAATAAGGAAATCGGGGAAATGACCCGCGTGCAAAACTGGGACGTGCCCGGGAGCGGGGAGCCGGGCTGAAATCTTTGCTCACGTCCGATATATTTATACAGCTTACCCCGTAGGTTATCCCGTAGGAAACCGACCCTACACGGGACAGATTGCCGGTGACGTCCAGGGGATGTCACTTCCCCAAGAGTTTATTTAGCAGCGGTGGCCCCGACGGCCCCTGTATGGAGGGGATGATGGGATCGGGGGTCCCGGCAGACGCCCACCTGCCCCGAGGATGATGCACTCGGAAAAAGCCCAAAAGAGGGAACAGGAACGGGCTCGGTGCAGGCGGTGACACAACGCTATCGGCATCCCGGCCGCGGCCGGCCGGCCCCGCTCCCACGCTCCGGATGGGTTTTTTGGGGCGGTTTGGCCCCTAAACGAGTCTGGATGCTGCGGGGCTGCGGGATGCGGAGCGGGGCTGGGGGAGCCCACGTGCGGGGCCGCGGCCCCAAATGGAACTGTTTGGGGTTGGGTTTGGCAGGAGAGCCGCAAGCTGCTCTGCCCTGCTGAACACTGCTCTCTGCCGTCCGCGGCTGTCACCGCCACGGGGACATGGGGACATGGGGACATGGGGGGACATGGGGACATGGGGACATGAGCTGCCTCTTCTCACCCATTTCTGCCCAGTCCTTATCTGTAACAGCCCTCCATCCCCATCTCTTCCCATCCCCATCCCACCCAAGCCACTGGGGTCCCTAACTCCCTGTCCCACACTGTCCCCAGCAGGGGACATGCACAGCCACCAGCAGCCCCCCATGTCCAGCCGCTGCAGGGTGCTGCTGTGAGTAAGGTGGCTGCCCCGTGCTGGGGAAGCCCGGGCTGAATAACGGCAGGGGACGAATTCCCCCTTGACTCATGGGGTGATTTTTGCATGCCCAAGCCCCTGCATCCCACCAGTGTCACCCTATGGGTGCTGCCTCACAAGTGCCATCCAGCTGGCATCACCCCAAAGCCAGGCTGATGTCTCCCTTGGCCTTGGGGACACCTCAGGGGGCAGGAAGCAAGGACATCCTCACTGCAGGGAGAGTTCCCAGAGCTGCATGGCACTGAGGGGGTGGGGATGCTGGGGATGTTAGGGCTGTTGACATGCCACCACCCCATGCGTCGCCCCATTTTCAGCCCCAGGTGTATGAGCATTTGCAGATCCTTAATTTCTGCTTGGAGCTCATTCCCAAATTTTGTCCCTAATTTCCAGAACCCTGGGGCCAGATCCTGCTCTCCCGAGCACAGAAGGGCTCCTTCTTCCCATTCCCTACTTGGGACCCCCAGGTGTTCCTGGTCTCAGGGAGGGGCTATCACCCACCTGTGCCCTCAGAGCCCCTCCAAGCTGCCTCCTCCTGGGGCGGCTCGGCGGGGTATGGCAGCTGGCAGGAGGTGACACGCTGGGCCAGCTCAGGCTGCTTCATGGTGACATCGTTCCGAAGGGTCCCCAAATGGTGGCGGTGGCCGTCCCAGTGGCGATGCTGCCTGCAACTGAGTCAGTGCCGCCGGCACAGCCGAGCACACGGCCAGGAACGAGTGACTCCGTGGTGCCACATGACCAGGTCTTAGGATATTTGACTCAGCAGGGACAGTGCTTGGTGGCAGCAGGCCCCCAGCGTGTCCCCGTGCTGCTATGGGGCTGTGTGGCACGGTGACGCTTGCCGTGGTGCTGTGTGACAAGTGGTGCTCAGTGAAGGGCCGGGTGCAGTGCCAGGGCCAGGCAGTGTTGCCACACGCAGATCTGTGCTCTGTGTCACATCCATCGTGTGCCATATGTCCCTTCCCGTGTGCCACATCCACCGTGTGCCACGTGCCACATACCACTGCCATGTGCCATATTCAACATGTGCCTGATGTCACGCCCCATCATGTTCCTGCTGCCGTGTCACATCTCATGCCTTGTCACGGCCCACTGGGTGCCTCATGCCAAACAATGACGTGCCCCTGTCCACTTCGTGCCAATGCCACGTGTCACCCCATGCCATCTGCCACATCCTGCGCTGTGCCATGTGCCACATCTCACAGTGTGCTACCGTGGCCCACCGTGTCCTCCTCCCAACCTATGCCACTCTGTGCAACACCACACCCCATGCCATGCCATGTGCCACCCGATGCTGCCATCCCATGCCACCCCAAGGGCCACGCTGCTGTGCCACATCCCAAGCTGCACATTGCACACCCCATCCCACTCCATAACACCTGCCATGCTGCGCTGTGCCACGTCCCACACGGTGTCCTTTGTCCCCCTATGCTGTCCCATGCTGTGCCCACTCTGTTTCCTTCCATCCTTCTCCTCCTGACCTCACTTTCCTTTCAGGTTATTGCTAATCAGTTTCCAAATTCGTTTAGTTTTCACTGTGTCCTCTGTCCCACACCCATGCGTGGGCAGATTCCTGGTAGCATCGGGCCCCAAAGAGCCCCCAGGGAATCACAGAAGGAGTTGGGGGTTTGCCTGAGCCCCACGGATGGACACTCGGACACACTTGGATAGAGGCATCGGCCCACAGGCCGAGGTCAAGACTTTATTTCCATCTGCTGCCATAGAAAAATAAAGGGTTGGTCCCCTCTTCCAGTACAAAAAAATATTTGCATTCATAAATAAAATATCACATTTATACTTTAACACAATACGATTAAAAAAAAATAACAAAAATAGATATCCATTTATATATTAAAAGTGTAAACTTAAATATTCATCCCCAGCGCGGGGATGCGTTAAATTAATTTGACGGCTTCAATAAATACAGGAACCACTGTCATGTATAAGTTATGGGGGGGTCGGTGCCCACTGCCAGAGCACAGGGCTGTGCCCAACACCTGGGGACACCCCAGGGCTGTGAGGTGATGAGGGGACAGGGTGGGCACAGGGATGATGGGGACAGAGAGTGAGGAGGGGTGAGGAGGAAAACACAGAGGTGAGCTCAGTGTGTGGATGAGGATGCTGAGAGGGGACACCGTGTGCGTGGGGACACCGAGTGGGGATGTGAAGTGAGTGGGGACATCAAGGTAGGAGGGACACAAAATTCATAGGGACCCCAAGCTTGTGGGGATGTCAAATTAGTGGGGTCACCAATCGAGTGGAGACACCAAACTTGAAGGGACACCAAGGTAGGAGGGACACAAAATTAACGGGGACCCCCAAGCTCATAAGGATGTCAAGTGAGTGGGGTCACCAACTGAGTGGGGACATCAAGCTTGAAGGGAAAATAAGACTTGCAGGGACACAAAGCTAATAGGGACATCAAGGCAGTGGGGACACAAAGCTCACAAGGATACCAAGCTTGAAGGGTCCCAAAACTAGTAGGGACCCCAAGCTCAAAGGGACACCACATGAGTGGGGACACCAAGACGGGAAGGACACCAAGATGATGGGAGGGACACCAAGATAGGAAGGACACCAAGCTCTCAGGGGCTCTGATCTCCAGGGTCACCAAGCCCCCTGAGATGGCAGTGGAGGTTGCAGGGGGACGGACAGGCGGCACTCACAGCCGGTGCTGTGCCGTGTGCGGGTGTTGGGCCCCTTAGTCAGGCCGTGTCACCGGACCCATTGAATCACTGGAAAATCCGGCAGGGCAGGCTGTCACCAACCCACAGTGACCCCGGTGCCAGCACCGGGCACAGCTCTACATCCGAGCGCAGCCCTGCAGGCTTGGTGTTGGCATGGAGGTCTCCTTTAGGGTCTGGTTGTCCTCCATCCCCGTCGCCAGCCTCGCCGCCGGCCCCTCTCCTCGCGCCGTGCCCGCGTGCGCTCCATGCGCTCCATGCGGGCGCTGAGCTTGGCCACGAAGCGGGCGTAGTTCCACAGCACGCGACAACCCCGCAGCTTCTGCTGGAACACCTTGCTGGCCGCCGGCCCCCGGGGTGGAGGGATGGTGGAGGGGACGATGCCGCGGGCCTCCATGGTGTCCTGCAGGTGGGCCAGCAGCCCGCGCACCTTCATGTGGGCGCCGCGGAGGCGGTGCAGGATGGCGGCATCGGGTGGATGGAGGTTGCTCTGATGCAGGGTGATGTCCTGCAGCTCCCGCTCCATGCGAGTCATGGTGCCATGCAGTGCCCGTAGATCCTTCACCCGTGGCCCCAAATTCCCCCGCAGCCACTCCAGCGAGCTGTTGGCCCGGCACAAGCTGTGGGCCAGGTGCTGCTCCTGCTCCTGCTTGCGGGAAAGGCAATGGGATTACTGGGGAATGGGGTTACTGGGGGGAATGGTATTACTAGGGGAATGGGGTCATTGGGGGAATGAGGTTCCTGGGGGGAAATGAGGTTCCTGGGGAGACGGCTGCCCTCCCCTGCTGCCCCCAGCCCCAGGAGGTTGCACTCACGTAGAGTTTGAAGAGTTCCTGCGCATCCTCGGCCATGTGCCTCACCAAGGCCTGGGTCTGCTTTGGGGATGGGGGCTGAGTGCTGTGTGCAGGCACGGTCCAGAGCAGGAGAAGTCCCTTAGCCACGGCTGGGGAGCAAGAGGACGGAGATGGTGAGGATATGGGGATAAAGCGACGCGGGATGAGGGGATATGGGGATGGGCGGCAGTGACAGCGCGGAGATGTTGCAGGGGGAGCTGGGAGCACCCAATGGGAACGGCAATGCCATCAGCCCATACACTGGTGTTAGGCCCAGAGGGGAGGACCGTGAGTGCTGGGCACAGTGGTGAGGTCCTGAGCCTGCTGTGGGGACAAAGCCATCCCCATCCCTAAGGCCAGCTGCTGAGACCTGGCAGAGCCCTTGGCACAGGGAGGAGGAATACCAGGGGGAGAGGAAGAGGAGGAGAAAGGTACACTCAACGCATAGAGGAACACACACAGCTCATAGAATCATAGAACTGCTCAGGTTGGATGCTGCCCGTGCAGCTCCCTGCCAGCACAGGCCAACGTGGGGCCACCAGGCAGTGACAATCTTAAGTCTGTCCCCTTGGCTCCCTGCTGGCTCAGCCCTGCTGTCACCCACATCCATGTGGGGTCAGTGACAGAGCAGCACCCGGCCCTACCGAGCTGGGTTTGTGGTTGGGGAACATGTCTGCAAAGCACAGAGACCCCATTCCTCCCCCACCCGCAGCCACCCTGCTCCCAAACCAACCTCAAACCACATCCCCTCACCCACACCCTCACAGCACCCCATCCTCAAAGGGAAGCCCCGGGAGGGTTCCCCAGGAAGAACCCACCCCATCCGCACACCCAGGGCCTCGGGGAGCATCACGGCCAGGAGCAGCGCTGCCCCATGGATGGAGGTGCGAGCAAGAGGGCAGTTGTGGGACGCTGGTGAGCACCTACCTGCCAGCACACCCAGGGGCCGCGCGTTGTGCCGCATGTCCGGGTGCCGCCGAGCGGTGCTGCAGGGTGTGCGAGCGACTTCCTTACTGGCCAGCAAAGGGGAAGCAGTGCTTTTTTAACTGCACTGATCAGCCACCACCTCCGAAGGAGGCACCCAGACCCAACGGAAAGAAAGAGAGAAATGAAGAGATGACTGAGGGACCAATGAGCGGGGCGTGCCAGGCTGCAGGGAGGAAATGATGCCAGCTGGACTACGGTTTCTCTTCGATTCAGTTCCTCGAGGGAGTCCTCTTAGGTCCATCCCGAGCACAGAGTGAGTTGGGTGCCTGGGGCATCGTGCAGAGCTTCTTTTGAAGCACATCGTTAAGTCACCCAGGTCTGCATCTCTCTTGCTCCGTGTTCATTAAACTGCAATCAGCCTCCGAAATCAATATTCAGCCAATAGAGGCTCTTGGCAGCATTGGTGCCAGCTCGGGAGCCTGGGGTCGAGGTGGCACTTGCAGTCTGCCTCTGACCCGGGGTGCACCTATGGGGCTGGCACCTTGCCGCCCTATCTCACACCTCTGGTGGAAGTGTGAACAGCTCTGACCACAGCCTGGTGTTGGGGTTTCACCAAATGGTGCTGTGCTGCAGGGCTGCAGACAAAAAACGGGTGCCAGGTTGGATGGGGACAGCAGACTGGGGCAACGCAGAGCGCAGCGGGATGATTTAGAGACTGCTCCACACCTCAGCACGCAGCAATGCTCCAGGGTGCTCAGCCTGTCTGTCTGTCTGCAATCTCTCCTTGGTCGATGGGGACACCCCAGACCTGAGGGTAGCACTCAGGGCAGGAGGGTGCATGATGCTGGTGATGGGGACGTGAGTACTGTGCACCGGGCTGGCTCTGCTCTGGTTTGATCAGCCAGGACCTGTGGTAGGGCACTAAAAGGAAGGAATGCAGCCGTTCCCATTGCTACACTGCACGCAACACGTGCAGGAAGGAAGTGCAATCAGCTGGGGGTCATCAGCAGCACCAGTTGCTGTACAAAGTCTGTCTTCTGTCTGACAAAGTCCTGAGTCCAGCGTCATGGAGTGGGGTCTGCATCGCAGCCACAGCCCAAGCTGCTTTTGCTTTGCAGTGGAGCATAAGAGGATGCTGACACATCCTGTTGAACTTGTTGCCATTTATGAGATTTATTATTGTTACAATCCGTCCGATTTTTGTGAAGAGTGACAGCAAACCCATCCAAAGTGGGGTGATGCCACCATGTGGTTCCCAAGCCTGAAGCTCTCCTTCTTCATCTCCTGATTTGGGGAGGACCATAGACATGACACCACTGCAGTCCCACCCTTTGCCACATGGCCCCAAAATGTGCAGAATTTGCATGTCACAACCCCAGATCGTGGCCAATCCGTGCCAGCTGGGAGCAAATCGCTTCCCTTCCCTGAGTTTCAGCCCTGAAACAGAGCCAGCAGTGCCCTGCTTCTGAGTACAGGAAGCTGTCCACAGCAGAAGTTGGTTTTGCATGGTGTGGCTCAAGCAAGAGGACACTCCTGAAATAACATCTCCCTGCGAGCGGAAGAGCGCAACACTGAGTCACTTCCAGAAAATGAAGCATTCTTTTCCCCAAATTTCTCCCTCCCTTCCCATTGCCCCCAAACTGCAGAACTCCCTGCTGCTGGATGCAGGTGGCACTGCCTCCTCAAGGTGGCTCCACTGGAGGTCCTCCACTGCCTCCTTGTTCCCATCCTGCTCAAGGTGTCCCCTGCCAGTGTTGGCCAGGCTGGGCTCTGCTTTGTGGGGCCAGGGGCAGCTCTGGAGGGATGGAGGAGGAAGAACGCCCTTCTTTCCAGAAGAAACTCATCCAGAATGGAGGCAGTATGTCTGTCTGTCCATGTAGTCAAAGGGCCTGCCTGTCTGTCCATCTGTCCATTAGTCCATCCAGCTATCTCTCCATCTGTCCGTTCAATCACCCCTCTGGACATTCATCCACCCAGTTCTCCATTCTTTTACCTGTCCACCCACCCATCCATCCACCCACCCATCCACCCACCCATCCACCCATCCATCCACCCACCCATCCA